GTCTCAGGTATGATGCACACCTTTTAGATTTTTGATGTGTATGACAATAAACTGTTAAATCATATGCAAATACTGATATGCATTTCACTACTGTATGGGATCATATACAAAATATGCCAATATTTAAAGCTCAATAGCGTTTGAAGACAATAACTTACAGTCATAAAACCTACTGTACATTGTTCACCCAGGTCTCAGGTATGATGCACACCTTTTAGATTTTTGATATGTATGACAATAAACTGTTAAATCAAATGCAAATATTGATATACATTTCACTACTGTATGGGATCATATACAAAATATACCAATATTTAAAGCTCAATAGCATTTGAAGACAATGACTTACAGTCATAAAACCTACTGTACATTGTTCACCAAGGTCTCAGGTATGATGCACACCTTTTAGATTTTTGATATGTATGACAATAAACTGTTAAATCATATGCAAATATTGATATGCATTTCACTACTGTATCAGATCATATACAAAATATGCCAATATTTAAAGCTCAATAGCGTTTGAAGACAATAACTTAGTCATAAAACCTACTGTACATTGTTCACCCAGGTCTCAGGTATGATGCACACCTTTTAGATTTTTGATATGTATGACAATAAACTGTTAAAGGCGTGTATCATACCCGAGACCTGGGTGAACAATGTACAGTAGGTTTTATGACAGTAAGTCATTGTCTTCAAACGCTATTGAGCTTTAAATATGGGCATATTTTGTATATGATCCCATACAGTAGTGAAATGCATATCAGTATTTGCATATGATTTAACAGTTTATTGTCATACATATCAAAAATGTAAAAGGCGTGCATCATACCCGAGACCTGGGTGAACAATGTACAGTAGGTTTTATGACTAAGTCATTGTCTTCAAACGCTATTGAGCTTTAAATATTGGCATATTTTGTATATGATCCGATACAGTAGTGAAATGTATATCAATATTTGTATTTGATTTAACAGTTTATTGTCATACATATCAAAAATCTAAAAGGCGTGCATCATACCTGAGACGTGGGTGAACAATGTACAGTAGGTTTTATGACTGTAAGTCATTGTCTTCAAACGCTATTGAGCTTTAAATATTGGCATATTTTGTATATGATCCCATACAGTAGTGAAATGCATATCAGTATTTGCATATGATTTAACAGTTTATTGTCATACATATCAAAAATCTAAAAGGCGTGCATCATACCCGAGACCTGGGTGAACAATGTACAGTAGGTTTTATTGTCTTCAAACGCTATTGAGCTTTAAATATTGGCATATTTTGTATATGATCCGATACAGTAGTGAAATACATATCAATATTTGCATATGATTTAACAGTTTATTGTCATACATATCAAAAATCTAAAAGGTGTGCATCATACCTGAGACCTGGGTGAACAATGTACAGTAGGTTTTATGACCGTAAGTCATTGTCTTCAAACGCTATTGAGCTTTAAATATTGGCATATTTTGTATATGATCCGATACAGTAGTGAAATACATATCAATATTTGCATATGATTTAACAGTTTATTGTCATACATATCAAAAATCTAAAAGGTGTGCATCATACCTGAGACCTGGGTGAACAATGTACAGTAGGTTTTATGACTGTAAGTTATTGTCTTTAAACGCTATTGAGCTTTAAATATTGGCATATTTTGTATATGATCCGATACAGTAGTGAAATGCATATCAGTATTTGCATATGATTTAACAGTTTATTGTCATACATATCAAAAATCTAAAAGGTGTGCATCATACCTGAGACCTGGGTGAACAATGTACAGTAGGTTTTATGACTGTAAGTCATTGTCTTCGAACGCTATTGAAGTTGCAAAACGTTTATACCAGTGTCGCATGTAACTTTAGAGACGGTCCCTAAATTCGCGAATATCGAACGTCCAACGTCAAACCAACTTCATGCCAGTCAGATACGGTGCGTCTCAATCAGCTCACTAGCTCCTTAGGTCGTGGATCAGTAGGCTATAGCGTGTGTTTTGTGACTACTCATTGTATTTCCGGCGGCGACATCCTCGTACACTTGTACAACGATCTGTCATTCAACAACAGAATGATTTGTAATGCTATTTAAAGTATTTCATGATAAATACTTTGTTACATTACCCATTTTAGCTGTAACTTAATTAAATGGTAGCTTATGTTCTCCATCTGTATGTTTATGCTGAAATACTTGAGTAATGTTTAAAAAAAAAAATCTATCCTAATGATGTGTATTGAGTTGGCTCGTGCAATTTATGTGTCTCAGTCAGAATTTCAGTTAGGGATACTCCACCGTTTTTTCATATTAAACTATAATTAGTTAAGTTAAGGGAATAATTATAGTTAACGGAATAGTTATTCCCTTAACTAAGACGAGTTGATACATACCTCTCTCATCTCAGTGCGTGCACTAAATCGCTCTGTCTTGCGGCGAAACTTTGATAGCACAGCTTCGCCCAGTTCATTTATTAGGATCCAAGCAGAGAAGCGACCAAACACCTCCACGTTTTCCCTATTTAAATACAGTTACACGAGTAGTGTGGTGAATGGTGACAGATGACTTTTATAATGTATGGCGGAATACAAGTGCTTGGAAGCAGTTCGACTCGGCCCAGTAATATCGATGATATTACTGGGCCGAGTTGAAGTGCTCCAGTGGCGTGCCCATTCAAAGTGAGGGGACCCCCGCACGTGACCCCCTCAGATTTTTCCTCCCTGATAATTTTTTTTGTCACAACTTTATTCCTATTATGCTCCATAATTACCAGAGCCTATAACGACTCAATTGTATTCTTCTGGATGTGTAATAAATCGGTCAGCATCAGCCCACCCCTCCAGGGGCGTAGAATTTAGTAGGGACGCTAGAGACGTGTCCCTACCAATATCCAGTGACACTGATATATATCCCTAGCAATAATTTCGATCAAAACTTAAAATATATTTATATTGATGTCCCCGTCCCCACCAATTTCAAAATCAAACCTACGCCACTATATCAAATCTAGCTACGCGCGTAGCGCTCTAGAATCTTTGCTGTGTATGTTCAAGCAACTCACTCGTCTCGCACGTTGAGCTGGCAATGTTTTACAGATGGTCTTGAAGTGGTAAGTGGGCAAAGCAACAAATCGGCATTGAATTAGTTATCGGATGATACTAAAAGGTAGTGGGATTATTTGTGGTTGACCTGGAAATTTTAACTTGATCAAAAAGTTATGGATTTGATATTAGTTGCGAATTCAGAGCATTAACTTAAGTTGTGTCAGTGTAACATTATCGACAGCTAGCCTAGTCTAACCGTAACTAGTTGGCTAACGTTACTGCCTGCCATACAAAGCCAATAAGCCATAGTAACGTTATCTGATCGGTTTTGAAACATCTGTTCTGTTTTGTCTTGTGTCAAAGTCTCCAGCTGGTTCAATTGTTTTCAGTTTCATAGAAACGGGGGTGTTAAATTTGTTGTAGGCTAACTGCAAAATTTGATTACATTTCTGTAAAATATTAACCATTATCAAATAAACGGGGTAGTATTAACCTTATTCAGCACTGAAATCTGTCAAACTTCTTTCAAAGTCCTTCATCACATATATTAAAATAACTTAATTTCAGAGCACCACAAAGTCAGAACTCAGCACCTTTATGTACCTTTAATGTAAGATCGTTCTTAGGTCACATACCAATTTAAAATCATAACATAAAAACTGCAATGGTACTGTTTTTAAAATCAGGTGTAGTAGGCCTAAGTGTACAGTAAGTGTGTGTGTAAACATGCTTTAATGAAGTAGACTTCAAAAGCTTTTGAATTTGAGCTTACAGTTCTTTCATCAACCTGTCTTTTAAATAAACTTACAAAATAGATACTTTAACTTAGTCCTCAGATAGAGGAGGGTTGCTGCTAGCTCCGTTAAGGTATTTCTGTCCCTCCCAAACTGCATTGAAATGGTATGTTTAGCAGCCAGAATTAAAAAAAATTCAGGGCGAGAAACCCCCTGACCCCTCCTAACATGATCCATATCACCCGTCAGAAAACAATTGCAACGTCTCAGATTGTGCCCCCCCCCCAGAATTTTGGCTTGCATGACGCCCCTGAAGTGCTCCAAAGCACTTGCTATGGTATTCCGCCATACATTATAGTTATCCACTTTACACACTAGAAAAGCGCAACGTTTTATTTTGTGTCACCATTCTTGGTTGAGTGGAGGGAAAACGTGGAGGTGTTTGGTCGCTTCTCTGCTTGGATCCTAATGAATGAACTGGGCTAAGCTAAGTGCTAACAAAGTTTCGCTGCAAGACAAAGCGATTTAGTGCACGCACTGAGACGAGAGAGGTATGCATCAACTCGTCTTAGTTAAAGGGATACTCCACCCAAAAATGAAAATTCTGTCATCATTTACTCACCCTCAAGTTGTTGCAAACCTGTATGAGTTTCTTTCTTCTGATGAACACAAAGGAAGATATTTTGAAGAACGATTGGAACTTTGGCACCAATGACTTCCATAGTATTTATTTTTTTCTACTATGGAAGTCAATGGTGCCAAAGTTCCAATCGTAAATGATGACAGAATTTTCATTTTTGGGTGGAGTATCCCTTTAAGGGAATAACATAGTTTAATATGAACAAACTGGAGTATCCCTTTAAGGGAGCATAGTCGAGTATCAATGCTCCCTGGTTTTCAGGGTGCATTGTGGGACTTTTTAGGGAGCGAATGTTTCAGTGCACTGGAAGGATTTTGCGATTGAGACAGCCCTTATAATGGCGGACTCTCTGATCATGCCCTGACCACTGAACAAGGAAGATGATTGAGATGCACCAAAATATTGAACTTTACATGATGCAATACATATGAAATCCTTTCAGTTTCAAAGCATTTTAAATGGTTTCCCCATTGTCGTAAGTTCTCCTTTCACAATGGAAACATCTGTAATGGAGGCATGTCCCTTTTTTTCCAAGTCCTCAATGTGTTTATCGATCTGAACTAGAAAAAAAAACAATAAGTCTACAATGGCTTTTTCCTGCTGTCTGGACTTTAGAATAAATGTAGATTCTAGAACTGTCATTTAACAGTTGTACATTTCTGTGAAGTTAGCTTAATTTGACTGCAAATGTCATGTCCATAATGCTGGGATAGCTCATATCTGCATTATTGTTTGTGTTTTTTCAGCTGACTTGGGTGGGAAAGAATCATTGAATAACAGTGATGGAGCAAAGAGAACCATCAGATTCAGAAAAGGTATCTGTATTTTTTTTTTATTCTTTGGTTTGCGTGGTCATCCCTAAAAAAATGCATTGTCGCATAAGCTTTGTCGTAATGCAAAAATAATAATCTACCAATTGAAATCCAACGGTTTACTGCTCATTATTTTCATAAATACTATAATATTATTAAGTTAGGAAATATCAGAAGACGATGGTGAAGTGGAGCAGCTCATCTGACATGACTGCATGTAACTGCATTTATGTGGCAAATCCCATGGGTTTGGACATTAAAAAAGATTGGTATAGTGAAATTGTCCCTCCCCCCACCCCCCTCCATCCACACCACTGATCTATATAATGTCATTCTATATAGATCAGTGGTCCACACACACAGCGATCTCACTCACCTGAGTTCTAATCATGCACACCTGTCAGTCATCGCCAGCCGTCACAGGACACTTTAAAAACCACCACTTGCGTTTGTGTCCTACTTACCGTTTGGTGCTTTTACCTGCTCCACGTTCTCTCCTGCACTGTTCTCCCTCGTTATCTCCATCGTTGTCTCCATCAGTTTAAACTCCATCCTGTTCTCTTTGAACAAGGTCCTGAAAATAGAAAAGACTGTTAAGTGTTTCTAATAGCATTGTAAAGATTGTGGTGTTATCTACGTGCTACTTACCCGTGTTGTGTGAATCAAAATAAATACCAGCGTTTGGGTTCACTCTCTGTCCTGAAATGACCATGGAATTAATCATTTGATACAATGTACTTATTGTGTACATACATGTTTTTACATTGAAAAATACCTGCAAAAAATTACATCTGTAATTCATTTCTGTAATTACATCCATAATTATACTGTTGACCCTCCCCTTACCCCACCCTTAAACCTACCCATACCCCCAAACCTGTCCCTAACCTTACCCGTATCCCACCTCAATAGCAACAAAAGTCATAGCCAGCAGCCATATCACCCTGTAGCCCAAGACTGGTTGCCCACTGAAGCTAAGCAGGGCTGAGCCTGGTTAGTACCTGGATGGGAGACCTTCTGAGAAAACCAGGTTGCTGCTGGAAGAGGTGTTAGTGAGGCCAGCAGGGGGTGCTCACCCTGTGGCCTGTGTGGGTCCTAACACCCCAGTATAGTGACGGGGACACTATACTATCAAAGAGCACCGTTCTTCGGATGAGACGTTAAAACCGAGGTCCTGACTCTCTGTGGTCATTAAAAATCCCAGGATGTCTTTCGAAAGAGTAGGGGTGTAACCCCGGCATCCTAGCCAAATTTGCCCAGTGGCCTCTGTCCATCATGGCCTCCTAATAATCCCCATATGTATTTACACTGATTGGCTTCATCACTCTGTCTCCTCTCCACCAGTAAGCTGGTGTGTGGTGAGCGTTCTGGCGCAATATGGCTGCCGTCGCATCATCCAAGTGGATGCTGCACATTGGTGGTGGTTGCACAAGCGCTTTGAGTGCCTAGAAAAGCGCTATAGAAGTGTAATGAATTAAAAGTGTTTTGTAATACAACATGAACACATTAAATACATTATACCTGTAACGATTCCACTGTAGGCATGTTGAATGCAAACCCATATGCAGTATTTTTTTTATTATTATTATTATATACGTAATACAAAACAAAACCAAATCCGGAGACTTAAACTTGACATGGACATAAACATGAACTCACCAACAGAGGTTACAGGGAACAAAGCTAGACAAGATACAATGGAAACATGAGGGCTATTTATACACCAAGACTAATGACTAAGCATCTAAACATGATCAAGACAATCAACCAATCAGAACATGACACATAAGACTAGGGAAGCACAAGATATGATCACATGATTGCAAGGGAAACGCATAACAAACAGGAAACATGACTGAGAATTTCAAAATAAAAGACATGAACACAAACAAAACCCAAACCAACTTGACGGTACCTAACAGTTATTTTTTTTGAGGCACATAGTAGTTAAAGACACCTAATATAAAGTGTGACGAATGATTTTATATACAATTTAATAATATCAATATAATAGATTTAATGCACAGAGAAACGTTGCTTTAGCGAGAACAACACAAACAAGGATACTGCATATAGGCTAATTCTGTGACACATTTATTTGCGTTAAAACCCTTTTTCTTGACACAGTGTTTCCAAACTAGTTTTTGTGATGTTTGAAGTCAAATTTATGCACTAAAGTTAAATGAAAAAATTATTGGTAAAAATTCTCAACATCAATTTACATAATTGTTATTATCTTTTCAGCATGCAGAATGTTCCCCACAAAACAGAACCTCAGAAACATGGAAAAAGCTGAATAAAATGGATGACTGGACGAAAGAGGATGTCCGTCAATGGCTCATGAAGTTGAAAGACCTTCAGAAGTATGCTGATATGCTTTACGATGAAGATGTTTCAGGAGCCGCTCTCATTTTATTTGATAAACAAGACTTTCTAGATCTTGGTTTAAAGCATGGACCTGCAGTTCAACTGGTTAAAACCGTGGCCCTGTTCAAAACATCCTCAGAAAATGTTGAGCACAGTGCCATACCCAAGGTCACAGATGGATCAGTAAGGACATCTGCAACACAGCATTTTCAGCAAGAAAAAGCACCAGCTGAAAGTCCTACCATTGGATCTGCTGAATTGGAGACATCAGCACACTTCAGCATTGAAGAAAATATGGTTGGTAAATCAAGTGTACGGAGATGGTCAGAAGACATACCCAAATATACAAGCAATGGAAGGGAGTCCTTCTATGATGCATCACCTTTTCAAGAAAAGAAGGATCTACTATTGGAGGAACGGGATGATGGCATGTACACAAAAGTAGATGGGGCAAATGGTGCACAATCCCTGGCTTTACCTTTGACACATTGCACAAAACAAACAAATAATGAGGGGAATGAGACCAAAGAAGACCTGAGTAACTCTGCATTTTGTTGGTGTACGCCTCGGCCCTTTGATGAAAGCAGCACAACATTTGAATACGTCCAAAATCATATACTTCCACCTGAGACTGGTCCAAGCAATCTTATTGACCCTCTGCATGAGTACAAGCTCATGGTAAACACAGAGAATGCTTTAGAAAAGGATGTATTCAAAAAATTCAGAGATGATACATGTTGGTTTTCTGCAGGATGTATGAATTCTCGAACAAATGGAACTATCCATTTTGGTGTTGGAGATGAGCCTCTGTACAAACATGGACAAATTATTGGACTAGAAGTGCCATATCAGAACAAATATATCAATGAATTTTATAAGGGTCTGAAGGAGCACTTCAAAGAAAATCTGAATATTGCAATGGCATGCATTAGGCCCCCCAAGTTCGTTAAGGTAAAATGTCCAGATAACAAGGACAAGTGGGTTATTGAGATTGATGTTGTCCCAAAGTGTAAATTAACTGAGAATAAACTTTTTTACACTACATTAGACAAGAAGAAAAGGAAATCAAAATGCCTTTTTATTCGTTCTGGTGCAAACACCATTAATTACTTACCAGAAAATAATCCTAAAATTTTTAAGCAAAACAATAAGACATTAATGCGTGATTTGGGATTATGGGTTTTATTTAGACAGTTAGCTGAATTCCATGGCCCTGTCTGAAAATGGCACACTTCATTTGCACTTACAGTGATTGTGCACGAGTCCACGAGACTGTAGGGGATCCTATTTGTCATTTTAGGTTTCAAAAGGGTGCTATGCACCCTCGATGGACACTATTGCCAAGCCCGCACTGAAGCGACCTCTGCAGCAGACTTCTAACCCGACAGTCAAAGCGACATTACGTCAGAGAGTATAGAAGAACAAAAGGGGAAACTCTGAGGCTTTTTTGGGAACAGCCACTAGGTGGCGCTTCGGTTGCGCGGCCGCCATTTTGGGGTGAAAACTCCAACTGGAGTTACTGGACAACAGCACAGATAACAGTTTTTTGAGGTAGTTTTTTCTTGCATTATAGTGAGTATTTCCATTTTATGCAACTTTACACATTTACTACTATTATTAGTTACCAACTCCACTAGGCCTGAAATATATTTTGTACGTTTTAACCCTGGATCATGCTACAAACATCATGATCTTATAGAACATGATGCATTGCTGTGTGTCCGTTATCATATAACTTTAATTGCCACTTTGGACAGTGGCTGTGTTTTTTTGTTTACATAGTCTATACAGTTTACTATAAAGCTATTCTATTGCTGTTATATATTTATTGTCCAACATTTACATTTTAGTACAATGGGCTCTATGCACGGGAGTATTTCTGGTGAAGGTCTAAGGATGCTGGATTATTTCCGCCGATCGTAGAGTCCAATGCTATACCGAGAATTTATATTGGTTTTTATACTCTATTGCTATACTAAAGAAACGTTAGTCACAAAAACAGACAAAACAAACACCCCTCATTTTGTTTATGCTTATTTGTTTATTATATTAAATAAACATAACTATATATAAAATTACATCTAAACGTATTAAAGTTTCGTTTCAAAGACGAGAGGACAGTAAATTTTGAAGACTCTGCCATAATCCCGTTTTCCTCGGGTTTCCTCCGCTTTAAATCTCCCCAACCGGAAACTGAAGAGCAGCCTTGCGTCAAATGCGGAACTTATGCGTGCATATAGCCTATTACATTTATTTGCTGAATTCATTTATTTTATTGATAACTTATTTTTGTATGTAACGTTATGTGTACCTCCTGGGAAACGGTCTAACGTTATTATAACTTTATGAACTGATATCACTTTATTCTTACCTGTCACACTTAATGTAGAGAGTAATATAATTAAATCCTTGAACTTCCCTGTCTCAAGTTATGTGGGGGAAAAAGCCTGGTTAAGTAGCAACTTCTTTTTAACTGCTATAACGTTAACTGTTGTGAGTTATAATAATCACCTAATTATTTCAACCTAAAAATGACCTCTGCACTGGCCTAATATATATATAATATATGACTGCCGAGTCGCTTTCACCCCAAAATGGTGGAAGCGTAGGGCTGCTGCTGGGCGCTGGTGTTGCAATGGAGCGTTCTATTGGCTTTCACTTCTTGTCAATATACGTTCTTTGATTATGTCACGAAAGTGCGGATTTGTAGGAAGACCGCAAATATTCAGGGTGCCATTGGGGACAGGGCCTTATAGCTTAAGGCCATGTGTCCACCAAAGTGTTTGTGCTTGGCTTCTTTTTCTGGTCAGCAAGAGTTGAAAAGATACTGGACAAAGAGTGTTTTGACACCATGCAAGTACAGTTTTGCATCGGTTTCTGAGTTGGGTGTGTACGTTTCCAAATCTAACTTTATATTGCCTTAATCACTGTCTTGTTTGCTAAAACATAGCACCATGTCAGAAACTCCTAGCAACTGTTAGCTAGGCTTAAAATATGTTTTACACAGCGGGGTTAGTTGTGGCACAGTGTTACAAACAAGCCACCAAGTGTACAATGATAATCAAATGAAAACAGAGCCACACAACTTTTCAGTTTTGAGTATTTATTTATATATTTAACTTTGTTGGACTTTCACAAACAATGTTGGAATTTAAAATGTTTAAAATTTAGTTTACTATGCATTGATCACTTGTTTATTTATAAAAAATATGGCCTGTTTTTAATGCAATAAACCCTTTAAATTTTGATTTTAAGCTCATTTGTATTATTACTGTTGTTATTATTAATAATAATTTTACATGCAGCTGCTGCACACACATTTAATTCAATTGCAATTACAATATTTGATTATTTTATTTACTTATTTATTTATTTATTTATTGCAAAACTGTGCAGCCCTTTTCTATGTCTCTATCCATGATATTGATCCATAATAGAAGGATGTATGGATATCTATCTATACAGATGCACAAACAATATTAAACTATACAAATAAAATAGTACTGAATTATGTGTTTCACACAAGTGTTACAACTAAAGCCCCGTTCACCCTACAAGCGACTTTGTCGCTGCATGTCGCCAGTGGCTGGCGATGAGGTCGCTAGTGGGAGTTCCCACTACTGGTTGCCTTTATGAATGACATCCAATGATGTGGAGAAGGATCATACGCGCTCCGCTCCTATTGGTTGTCACTCCCGAAAGTCGCTCCTCATTTGCATAAAGTTAAACAGATCTCAACTTTGTCGCGTCGCCAGACACGCCCCATCCGGTCGCCAACGGTCGCTGTCGCGCGTGTCGCCGGAAATCGCCAGCTCCCCATTGAAATGAATGGTATCGCGTCGCTTGGTCGCGTGTAGTGGGAACGGGGCTTAACCCCTCTGTCTGTTACAATTAAGCGCCGGAAAGCTCCGGAAGTGATCTCTCGCGCGTGTACGTCACTCATACAATTGTTTTTTTTGTTTTTTTTTTTAAATTGTTTTCTTTTACGACGGTTTAAACATCCCGGATAAGCGCAAATTAGTACCATTTTAGTACCATTTAGCCGTCTTACCTACAATCTCTGTTCTGTGTAAACAATGAGTGACGTACACGCGCGAGAGATCACTTGGACGTGGCTGTGTTTACAAGAGGTAAAAACGATATAAATACTGTTCGTTTTCTCACACAAACCGCTCGTTTCGTGTCTGTCATCTCCACAGAGGCTTTGCGTTTCATTGCTTTCTCATTCAAAACAGGGTGATTAAAACTGTTTGTCACGTGACGTTAAAGGCCTAGAACTTTAATCAGGTAATCATATTCATATCAGGTTTAAAGTAGTACAATTAGTTCCAAAGTTGTATTTGTAGAAGCTTACCATAACATTTACCATGCTTTTACCACAGTACATTAGTTTTACTGTGATAAGTCTATGAAAAAGACTGTAATCACAAAACTTAGCATTCTTTTACCTCACTATTGGTAGTTTTAATGTGATATAAATGTTGATTAAACAGACAGGAAACAAAGGGCTGGCTGAAGTTCAGGAAGTAGTGAAGCTGTGGCATAAAGCCAATTGCCGTGAGACCAGGGCTGCGTTCCAGTCCACTTTTAGACACGCACTTGCGAACTTCCCTAAGCACTTCCCCTCGGGGGGAATCCCTAACGCCATTTTGAAGTGTGTTCCACTTCGCAAAGTGGACAAGGGAAGTTTATATGGACAGACACTTGTTCCCTCGATTTTGTCCGAGGGAGCGAGTCTACTTCATATGTACACTTCAGGCAGCTCCATATACCACAATGCAACACGATTGTGACGTCACCGCAGGTCTCGTCTAATCACCACCATCACAAACAACTCTGATATATTAATTATATATATTTTGAATTTAAAACAACCCAAACACATCTATATACATGTGGATGCTGCATTAAACAAATTCTTAAAGGGAAAAAAAGTAAATAATAAAGCAACTCATAGCTGATTCAAAGTGATCAAGGGCTTAGGACGTTCCAGTTCAGCTCATTGCGGTTTCCGCCAGTAGTGGGCACTCGTTCAACGTAAGCAATGACGTATATCCGAGTGAACGAGACGAAGGGAAGTTAGCGAGTGAAGGGCATGACAATTTTGGACTGGAACGCAGCCTGGGTTGCAATAGTCGCATAAAGTGACGGCATCAGCGTCGGCATCACCGTTGATGGACAGTTGATTTCCTTTCGTCTATATTCGACGATGAGGGATTAAAGGCACACTATGCAAGAATTGTACCTTAATATAACAGCTTCAAAGTCATTTCGGTGGTAAACAAACTCACAGTAGGGCGAATCATCCTGGTAGTAAAGCTTGGGGGGGACGCCGCTGTAAAAACCAGCAATGCAAGTTTGAGAGGAGCGCCCCCGACAAATCTCGCGAGAATAACGACATGCTATACGGCAACGACGTCACACACATCAACAACAATATATGAAGCACGAAGACACTTGCGTGCATTTCAGACGTGATACTCGACGATGGAAAAAGCACAGAAAACACGGTCGGAAGAGACTAGGAAAAGGAAAAGAGAATCTGACCGCGTGAGGAACTGGAAAAGAGTCCCTGATTCGCCCTCGCTATGTGTGTGCGTGTTGTGTGAGTGAGCGCGGCTGATCAGCGCCAGCTGTTTTGAATGAGGATGTCCTATATATTGTTTTTTTTACCTCGTCCTGTCTATGTCAGATGGTATTTGAGGCTACCAGGGTTCTACTCACCGTGTTCTCCTGCATTCTACCTGTTCCTGCAAATGTGTCTGCCCACTGCGTCCCTGTTTTTCCGAGCCTGAGTCTTCTTCTGCCTGCTTCCATTTTGACCCACACGGCTATCTACTATTGTGCTCAATAAATTACTGTTTACTCGCAACTGAATCCTCTGACTATTTCCTTCAGAGTTGTGACAGTCCCACTCGGTCGGGCTTTCACTAGTTGGCGCGAGCTAAAAAGCAGCACTGGATGCAACAGCGATGCTGACCTGGCTATCTTGTTGATAGACTAGTAAATAAATCTCTTATTTCTAGAACTTGTTTGCGTTCTATGTTGTTGCGCTTGCTTGTAGTATGTCATTTTTTTACGATGCTGTTCATTCATCCATTGTTGATAATTAGACCTGTCCAGTAATTTCCACATATGTCTAGCTAGCTATTTACGACAGTGCAGGTATTCCACAGCGACTATAGGGTTCGCTGTTTGACAAAAACACAATTTCTGCATGGTGTGGCTTTAACATGAATGTCTATCTGACGGACCCCCGCGTCGAAAAACAACGTCAAGGGTAAACCTTTTTCGTTGAAACTTGACGCCAGGGGTCCTTGACCATGCGTCAGACATTTGACGAGTAGGGAGTGAGACTGTGTTGGAAATCTGGGTGTGGAAATCGACAACGGCTTGAAATTTGACAGGCAAATTGCCTCTGTAGTGGGCTTTAGTTTTTTTAATCTTTGCTCTCTCTCTCTAAAATTAAAACCTTTCTTTCTAACGTCTCTTTAGAGGTTGCTATCCATGCCTTTATTACATCTCGGCTGGATTACTGCAACTCTCTATATTATGGTGCTTCAAAGACTCAAATTTACCGTCTACAAGTTGTTCAAAATGCAGCAGCTAGATTCCTGAAGGGATGTAAAAAATTTGATCATGTTACACCCCTTCTGAGATCTCTACATTGGTTAACTGTTCAGTATAGAATTGAATATAAAATTCTATTACTGGTCTACAAATCTTTAAATAATCTTGCACCATCTTATCTGATGGACTTACTTCACCCGTACACTCCTAAGCGAGGATTTAGATCGGGAAACAAAACTCCTCCTTCACATTCCCAGAACCCGCTTGAAAAAAAGGGGAAATAGAGCCTTTGAAGTGGCTGGCCCCACTTTGTGGAATAATCTCTATATTGTAATTGATGTACAGCACTTTGGTCGGCCGGCGGCCGGTAGTAAATGTGCTTTAGAAAAAAACGGAACTTGAACTTGACCTTCAGGAATTCAACAAAGTGTTCTTCCTTCATCCATCCTGACGGGTTTTCACCTCCTTTGCAACCTGTAGGTCCATTCAGAATGAAGTGGTCCCTGAAATGTACCCTGGGGAAGACAAAATATGGAGGAAGGCTATTCCCTGTGGCTGAAACTGCGCAGGCAAGGGTAATAATCTGGGGGACATATTGTGTTCCTGATGTAACCAACAGCTACACCTAGCTCTTTCTTGCCTTTAATCTCATCCTGCTGATCTTGTGGCAGTATCTGCTTAGTGTGCTGAATGGTATTTTGAAGTCCTTTGCTGTGCTTCTAATACTTCTGTTTTGAGTCTTCACCTGTCTGGCTGCCTCTAGCATAATCGGTCCCAGTGTCTTTCCCCTGTCTGTAGTTCTTAAATATTTTCTGACCATTTTGACTTCTAAAAGAAAATTATTTCATACATAATAAGTTTATGTTCATGAGAATTTAACATACAAACCCGATAAAAATGTAAAGCATAATTATATTTACAAACATACAACATATAATATGTATATTATATTGTGTATGTATATATATTATATTATATTCATTATGTTTTAACATACGTAAAATGCATAAATTAATACATTTATAACCAACAGGCTATAGGCCTACTGCCGCTTTATTAAGGCACTAACTGCTATTCACGCACCTGAACGCCGGTGCAACGCAGTATTCTTGCCCAACCCCCCCTAACCCCCCCAACACACACACACACACATACTTTGAGAACCACTATACATAGTTATGTTAAGTATTTTTATTAGGGCTGTCAAATGATTAATCGTGATTAATCACATCCAAAATAAAAGTTTTTTTTACATAATATATGTGGGTGCACTGTGTATAATTATTTTATATATATAAATACACACACATGCTTGTATATATTTAAGAAATATTTTCATGTATATACTGTATATAGATTTATATATAATTTATATTATATATAAATATAAATATTTTATGTATAAATAATATTTTTTTCTTAAATATACATGCATGTGTGTGTATTTATATATATACAAAATAATTATACACAGTGCACCCACATATATTATGTAAAAAAAACTTTTATTTTGGATGTGATTAATCGTGATTAATCATTTGACAGCCCTAATTTTTATAATTGAACATAAAGAACTTTGGATGAATCAAAGCTATCACAAATTCTGCTATTTCACAATAATGCACCAACCTGATGCACCAATGACTGAAAGTTTGAGGCATCAGGTGACAGAAAAACAAGACTGTGCAGGTGTGTATTGAGGCTCCTCCCCTTCACATATACTATAAAGAACAGTTCAGCAAAAAGGAAAGTTGAAACTTAAACAAAGCTATACAGAGAAATGCAGACCATCAGCAAATCTGCAATGAAAGGTAGGATTCAACTTACAGAATTTCGTATTTAATACAACATTTTAGCATTGCATGTTAATTAAATTATACACTTCTAGAAATAAACTAAATAGGCCTAATGCTTAAAATTGCTTGTTATAATATCTTAAACCACAGCAAAACACAGCCAGCCTAAAGAACAACTTAATGCATCCAAGACCTGGTTTTTCTATCTCTGTGATGTGGTTGCACGTGGTTTACGGGTAATTATCAATATCACTATGAAAATATCATTGCTTGTTGTTTTGACTCTTGCTCTGTAGCTTCAGAATAGCTTGAAATAGTAAAACAAAAGTAGCATTGTCGTTACATGCCTCTTACAAAAAATGATTTCCGCCAGCATGGCAGTATGAAAATCTCTTAGGCACTGATGGAATATTCAAAATATGGACACCTGGTTCTTATGCAGTACTTTCCTAACTGTATACAATGAAAATGCCTGTTGTCATTTAAGAATTTCTATGAAACAAAGCCGTAACTATGTCTTGAACATTGGGATGGTTTTGTTTACTTTTGGTGGTGGTGGTGGTGGGGTATTTAAATATTTAAATATTGGTATTTGCAGCTGAGGACATCCGAGACCAACACATTCAATGGTGATCTGGACGAAACAGAGACTGGTAAAATTGTCAATATCTTAGATTGGTGGTCCTTTTACAACTGTAGATGTGTTTATGATTTGTAATATGATTTGTTAACTGAAATTGTTTTGAAAATTATTATCATATAATTTATTGCCTAATTATTATTATTATTATTATTATTTATTATTTGTTTTATCGATTATGACATGATAGATAATAATATAAAACAGAAACAGTAAAATAAGTTTTGGATGGGATAATTCATGTTCTCTAACAGAACAAAAAGGTGAGCTCCGGATTGTCCTGCTTGGAAAGACAGGGGTTGGGAAAAGTGCAACAGGAAACACCATCCTTGGAGAAAAAGTCTTTGAATCAAGTGCTTCATCTTCATCTGTTACTAAAAGATGTAAAAAGGAAACTAGGATTATTAATGGAAGAGAAGTTTCAATTATTGACACACCTAGGGCCCTATCTTGCACTCGGCGCAAATGACTTGGTACACTGACGCATGTATCATTCCTATTTTGCACCCGCGCAAAGCGGGCTTTTTCCTCCACAGACACACGTCGGTTAACTAAGAAATACACTTGCGCTCCCCGGGGCGGTTCAGCGCAAAGAGGAGGCGTGTTCCGGCGCAAACTTTCCCTCATGCTATTTTGCTGTTCTATAAGACAATTGCGCCACTGACCAGAAAAAACCTAGTCTAAAGTCAGTGGCGCGTTGCGCGTTGTTCATAATGCTATTTTAAGCGCGCATGCTTGGCCATAATCAATGTAGCGTGTGCACAACGCGCATACACTTTGATTCTCTCATCTAAGCAGCAGTTTTCATTTTTGCAAATCATACATTATTACGATAGATAGATAGATAGATAGATAGATAGATAGATAGATAGATAGATAGATAGATAGATAGATAGATAGATAGATAGATAGATAGATAGATAGATAGATAGATAGATAGATAGACAATTTATTATAAAAGCATACATGTAGCTTACACATTTACCCAAATTATCATACGCCTGTTTAACAGAAGTTAATTTGGGTGGGTTTCTCCATCCCCAATGTCCCTTCTCTGTCTTTCACTGCCCTGACAAGAACTCGGTCTCCTCGGCTGTGAACTGCTCCTGGCGCGCGCCTGGCAAATCCGCCGTTATAATAGGAATCCGCTTTAGAACAAGCGCGCCTGCTCTTAAAGGGAATGTGAGATGACGCTCTGATTGGTTTATTTCACGTTACGCCCAAACCACACCTATGAATAATGAAGCTACTTCAGACAACCCCTTTTAGATTTGCGCCAGGCGCAAGAGGCATTTATCCCGCCGGGAAAATAGCAACAGCGCCGGGATCCGCCCACAAAGTTACTTGCGCTTTGCGCTTTGACACTTGCGTTTCAGATCGTTAAAATAGGGCCCCTGGTCTTTTTGACACAAGTATGAGCGAAGAAGAGATAGAGAAAGAGATTAAGTTGTGTATATCTTATTCTGCTCCAGGTCCACATGCCTTTCTAGTTGTTGTTAAACCAGAAAGATTCACAAAAGAAAATGCAAAAACAATACAATTAATTGAGAGAATATTTAGTGAAGAGGCAAGAGATTATACTATGGCACTGTTTACTCAAGGAGATCAACTAGAGCAGGACATTAAGACATTTATCTGCAGTAATTCCGCATTACGGGCATTTGTCAGGAACTGTATGGGACGTTATTTCGTGATTGATAATAGGAAGCAGGATTCACCACAGGTTATGCAGCTGGTGGACAATATTGATAAAATGGTTAGTGATAACTGCGGTGAATACTACACTAATGACATGCTTCAAGAGGCAGAGAAAGCAATTGAGAAGGAGAAACAACGAATCCTGAAAGAAAATCAAGAACAACGAAAGAGAGACATTGATGCTCTAGTGAAGAACATGTGTCTAAACATTAAAAACATAGAACAAGAAAAGCAAATAGAGAAAATGAAAAAGCAGCTTGCAGAGAAGGAGGAGAAAAAGGCAAGGATTCAAGCTGAGAACAACAATTATTTCATCCTTTGGCATCCATTTAAATTGCTTCAGGACATCATTACATTTTGGTTTTCAAAATAAACATTTAGTTTTGTTTCATTATCCCTCACTAACATATACTGTATCTCAGAACTTCAGAAGAACCGATGTTTAGAAGCAATTTTGTTTAGCTGTCAGCTCTGTGGTAGCGATTCACTTCCACTGACATTTCAAATCAGTTTCAAAGTAAAAATGACAAAGTTTTTACATTCAGTCTTTTTTAATTTATGACATTTTCATACTCACTGTCAATTATTAATGCTGTTGTTCACCAGAACTAAGGCTAATCATAGTGGTAACCCTAGTGAATAAAACCTATACCAAAATGCATTTAAAATAAATGTATTTCATATTAAAATATACACACATATTTACTGACAAATCGCTTGAGACTTACTGATATGAATATTATAATTAAACTTTATTGCACAATGCACAATTTATTGCACAATGCACAATTTAATATGCACAATGCATATTTCTTAACATTAAGCCTTAAAATGTGTTTAATATCACTATTAGTATTATTTCTGTATAGTATCTTTAGTTTATTTAAATGCTAGATATTTTAAGTATACTTGCAATAGTTCCACTTTAGCACAATCAATATAGTTACGTATATCTTTAGTTAGACCTCAGCACTATTTCCGGATAACTAAAGTGCATGAAGTACAAAATCAGTTGTTCCAATTTAGCAGATTTTACCAATTTAGTACCAACAGTACAATTGCAGGATATTTATATTAAGTACATGAATATGTAAATGTATTTGTAGTATACATAAAATAAAATAAATGTATTTCAAATACATTTTAGTATATTTATTTTTCACTAGGGAAGTGTTTTACTTTTAGAGAGACTTTTAGAAAGAAACAAATCTACACAGTAACTTGACAAATGGACCTTATAAACTTTAAGACTGGACAGTCTGGATTGAATAAAACTCACTAATCTGGATAGAAGATATGCAAGAAAGAGTATGAACACAAAACTTATCTTCCCACCCATCTACGATCCACCCTATCCTTACTCCCCTCATTCCACACTGACTAAAATCACTGAAAGTTCACCAAACAATGTAATAAATTATAAGTGTGTGTGAGAGAGAGAGAGAGACTCATTTAAATCGTAAATCTTTACATGTAATCTTAACAGTTTGAACAACAGTTCACCTGAATGAATTAAACTTTCTAAAACTATGAGAGAGGTGTCTGCTAAGGACCAACCGATTCACAAAATGAATCAGACTTTCAAAAGCTATGAGAGAGAGCCATTTCGGGACCAACAATTTGTTGCAATGAATAACATTTTTCTAATACAACATGAGAGTAGATCGATCGTTTATGTGACAAATAATATGAATCTATAGCTTTTTTCCTTTCATGTTTGGTATAATTTTAAATGTCAATTGATAAAATGGTCTTAATTCCACATGCAGCGGTCACTTGTATTATGAAAAAGTTGAAAAATTGAAAACTTATGAGAATTCTGTTCTCCTGTTGTGGGTGGTGTCTCTTCAAGATATCTGATGACCATTGCTTCTCTCCCACAGAACAGCTGTGACCCTTTGGGGCATTTACATGTATTTGTTAAGAAAATGCTTTATTCAAAACATCTTAATACAACATAAGACATTCAACAAGAAAATAATTCTTTAAGGATTCATTCCAGCATTGTGGCTGGAATCTTTTAACTGAATCAAGAACTATTACTTTTGGTTTTGTAAATTCATGTTTTATTGCCTTTTATATTATTTAAAAATTCACATGTATTTTTCATATCCTTGGTTTGAAATTACATTCTTTTCATATACATTTTTAACCATAACCTATGTAAAGACAGTATGAAATATCAATAGCCAGAACAGTCACATGGACTGTATGAAGATGAATTCACCAAGCTTTTTACATAAGCATCTTAAAGTAAATATAGGCTACACCTTTAAAAAACAACCTTTGTAAATTTACCAGTGACCTTCACAAAGGGTTAAATTATGACAATAAAGTCACATAAATCCCTGGACAAAATTGAAAATATAAATAATTTTTTTTTTTTTTTCTATATTCAGCTAATACACACAGCACTCCCATTTTAACCCATTGAAATTCCCTAGCAATTCAATTGAACAATGTAGTTTAATATTTTGTTGATGGTGCTTTGAGATTTTTGAGGTTTGAGGGCTGTTCAACAAACAAAAGGGCTGTTCTGAACAAAATGTTCTTAAAATAATGTTTATGGAACATTCTTATAATGTTATCAATAGTTATGGTCATGTAATGTTGAGAGAAAACGTTCTTAAAATAAAGTTGGAATGTCCTTTTGACGTTATTTGTACTTGAGGAATGTTCTCAATGTTGAGAGAACACGAATAACATTCCCGGAACATCCTTATAATGTTATTATTATTTGCTGAATGTTTTCATAATCATAAAACGTTCTGAGTACAACGGTCATGAAGTGTCCTTATGATGTAATTTGTACTGTTCTTGGAATGTTAACTTTGCATAAAACGTTGTGAGAACAATTTTAATGAAACGTCCTGTAAGCCCGCGCTCAATCGGCCCAATCGCGGCATTCGATCAGCGGGTGAAGGTCTCTGCTTGTTACTGTCTTTCCGCGTGGCAAAGTAATTTGATTAAATGGAATACATTTTCTCATGTATTATCTCGTTATTTCATCTGACTCCATAAATGAAAATGTTTTAATGATATCTGGGCATCATTAAATGTGAGCGAATGTCTGACTATTCTTTTAACTCTCATTATTAATTGAAAATAATGTCAAAGCCAGTTAGAATAAAATCAAATGTTTACAATTTATTATGTCAGGTAAATGCATCATGTCAATTTCATAATCAATTCAAAGATAATCAATACAATAACATCAAATGAGTAAAAGATGTAAACCCGACATTTAGAAAAACATGATGTAGAGTGCCGGTGATGCAGTCGATTCTGTTCCCCACCGGAATTCCTGTTCCCCTCAACGAGGCGTGTCCATAGCATAGGTCCATAGACAGTAAAAGGGCGTGTCAAAGCCATAGATATCCATAATAAAGGCTAGATGTCTTGGCGGAGTCTCTATCGTCATCACCGGCGGCCACCTTGTCACCTTGCTTTCTGGCGGGCTCTGTGGTACCTGATGTAAGATGAGTGATCAGCACGAACACAAATACTCGTATCTCGTTGAAATCTTGACTGATTTACAAACGGTTTGGTTTCTTACAAATGTTATTAATGTGGCTATAATATATTTTTTGATACACTTATTATTCATAAGTGTGCAGTGTCATAACAACATCTCTGACGTTTATAACAAACCAAACCGTTTGAAAATCGGTAGAAAATTGAGCAAGTTATGGTTATTTAAAAAGTACATGCACCATTAAAAAAATGTTACGAGTGAGCGAGCTGCCTGTGACAAGATGGCCGCCAGGTGCGGACGTCGACCTCCATTGGCCAGCAGCGCGGACGAGACATCTAGCCTTTATTATGTACACTCACCTAAAGGATTATTAGGAACACCATACTAATACTGTGTTTGACCCCCTTCACCTTCAGAACTGCCTTAATTCTACGTGGCATTGATTCAACAAGGTGCTGAAAGCATTCTTTAGAAATGTTGGCCCATATTGATAGGATAGCATCTTGCAGTTGATGGAGATTTGTGGGATGCACATCCAGGGAACGAAGCTCCCGTTCCACAACATCCCAATGATGCTCTATTGGGTTGAGATCTGGTGACTGTGGGGGCCATTTTAGTACAGTGAACTCATTGTCATGTTCAAAGAAACCAATTTGAAATGATTCGAGCTTTGTGACATGGTGCATTATCCTGCTGGAAGTAGCCATCAGAGGATGGGTACATGGTGGCCATAAAGGGATGGACATGGTCAGAAACAAATCTCAGGTAAGCCGTGGCATTTAAACGATGCCCAATTGGCACTAAGGGGCCTAAAGTGTTCCAAGAAAACATCCCCCACATCATTACACAACCACCACCAGCCTGCACAGTGGTAACAAGGCATGATGGATCCATGTTCTCATTCTGTTTACGCCAAATTCTGACTCTACCATCTGAATGTCTGTTAAGGGTAGACGTGACTGAATTGTCGTGAGCAGATGAAAGCACTCAGGAGAGGTTGGATGAGTTTGTTCAGATGGGATATTTTTTTATTTTTCCCAGTTAAGGCCAATGAAAGGCAATAAAAAATTAACAAAACAAAAAAAAGAAAGAAAAAAAACACTGTTTAGTAAATAAAGTAAATTGACATGAGAGTCAAAAAAACCCAACAACAATCAAATGTTTACAGCTGTTTGAAAATTGACCTTAACACAAGTCACTATAATTAGTGCAAAGACAGACTTATGTCCTCTCACTCACACCCCTCCCCTGACAGAATGACAATACTAGCCTTTATAGTCCTGTGGTCACCCCTGGAATTGAAACATACCAACACATGATTATGGTGCAGGGGTGGCTCAGATGACAAAGACATAAATGCTTAAAAAACAGCTAAAATACTACTTCTATTAAACTAGAAAATTACAGAATATTATTTCTACATTTCCAGCTAACAATTGACAAGCAACAAGTCATATTCAACAGCTACAAATAAATTACTCAAACTCCGGGTCATTTGCTATTGACCCGGAAGTCATAGCGTCATTTAAACCCCACAATCGCGGCAAATTTTCCTTTACACAAACACAACGGAGACGCCAGTACGACAAAGATGGCATGTCAAAGCTATGTTTCTCTTAAACTAAATAAACGGATACATACTGAAAACATGTGTTGCGTGATTATTGTAACTGATTATGACTGTAACGTAAATTACATGATTTTTTTTAAAACTGCAAGATATGTATTGACAGAAGTAGCTATAGCATATAAATCACCGCAGTAGCTGTTAAAACTGTGCACACAAAAGCTACGGGATATATGAGATTTTGTAGTGAAAGGCTAGATTAACAGCAGATTTGTAACAGTATAAATATTAACAGAAGACATTAATGTGCTAGACAAACACATACAGGTCACATTTGCACTCAGTCTTTGTGTATTGGAATAGGCAGCATATCGCTGCCGTGACGATAGCTATGCGCCCCGTCACAATGTCTCAACAGAAATCGAGACTCATCAGACCAGGCAACATTTTTCCAGTCTTCAACTGTCCAATTTTGGTGAGCTCTTGCAAATTGTAGCCTCTTTTTCCTATTTGTAGTGGAGATGAGTGGTACCCGGTGGGGTCTTCTGCTGTTGTAGCCCATCCGCCTCAAGGTTGTGTGTGTTGTGGCTTCACAAATGCTTTGCTGCATACCTCGGTTGTAACGAGTGGTTATTTCAGTCAAAGTTGCTCTTCTATCGGCTTAAATCAGTCGGCCCATTCTCCTCTGACCTCTAGCATCAACAAGGCATTTTCGCCCACAGGACTGCCGCATACTGGACGTTTTTTTCCCTTTTCACACCATTCTTTGTAAACCCTAGAAATGGTTGTGCGTGAAAATCCCAGTTACTGAGCAGATTGTGAAATACTCAGACCGGCCCGTCTGGCACCAACAACCATGCCACGCTCAGAATTGCTTAAATCCCCTTTCTTTCCCATTCTGACATTCAGTTTGGAGTTCAGGAGATTGTCTTGACCAGGACCACACCCCTAAATGCATTGAAGCAACTGCCATGTGATTGGTTGATTAGATAATTGCATTAATGAGAAATTGGTGTTCCTGGTGTGAGAATTGGTGTTCCTAATAATCCTTTAGGTAAGTGTATATATATATATATATATATATATATATATATATATATATATATATATCCTTCTGTGCTTACATTATTCCTATAAAAAAAAATAATCAAGTGCATGTTTATATTATCATTTCTATATTCAATGAGTGATTCACATATATCTTTAATCATATGTTGCTTTTTTACCAGTTTCTAAGTGCAGTCTTATGTCTGTGATCTTTATTGACCGGAAAGAGGACCTTGAGAGAACAGGCTCTTTTTATTGGGAAAGCAGCTACCAGAAGAGGTAGAGGAAGATGACTATATATCTGTTTTTAGCTGACTAGTTAAGGTTACAGTGGTCAAACCCTACCCAAACCCTTTTTAGTTGTTGTTAAAGGTGCAATGTGTAATATTTCTGAGGATCTATTGACAGAAATGCAATATAAGATCCATAACTATGTGTTCAGTGGTGTATAAAGACCTTACTCAATGAACCGTTGTTTTTATTACCTTAGAACGAGACATTTATATCTGCATAACTGCGGGCACCCCCTTCTATGAAGGTCGACATATTGTGACGTCATGTTTCTACCGTAGCCGACAGCGAACAAACAGCGCTACAGAGCGCGTTTCGTTCATACCTTGAAAGAGAAGCCGCAGAAAGCTAGAAGCTAGCCATAGACACAGTGAGTAGTGACTTTTCCCTTGTCAGTGGTGTAAAATATGTAGTTGGATTGTTTCATGTAACTTAGTTCTTCTTCCTCGCTGTGTTATGGCTTTGACAATCAGCTGATTAGTACTATTGACCGTAAAACAGTAACGTTACAGGA